CGGGGTGGGTGCCGCCGCCGCCGCGGAGCTGCTGCTCGGCGCGTTTTGCATGAAGATGGCGGCTCCCACCGCCAGCAAGGCAGCCTCTCTGGGCTGTAACAACAAGCCGACGTTCCCGGAGCTGGATTTCAGGTCCGGAGCTCGGGTGGAGGAATTGAACAAACTCATCCAAGAATTCACGAAGCACGACCAGCGGGAATACGACGACCAGAGAGCGCTGGAGATTCACACAGCCAAGGATTTCATCTTTTCCATGCTGGGTAAGAAGGAAAAGGGGGAGGTGTGGGCGAGTGATGGGAGCGGGGTCGAGCCCATTCCCCCTCGCGCGCTCTCCTCCCCCTCGGTTTCCTGCGCAGAGCCGGGCGCCGGGGCACGACCCGCCTCCGTCCCGCTTCTGCTCCCCGCGGCAGGTGGAGCTCCCTTAGCGCCCCACCTCACTATACTTTGCTCGGGGTCCCTTTCCCCCGTTCACTGGCTCTTTTGTTAATTTCTCACCGGCCAGCGCCGGCGGGCAGGTGGCGGGATCCTGGTGAAGGGTGTCACGGGTGGGGGGCCCCTGGGAGCGGCGCGGTCCAGGTGGGACCGGCGGCGCCTCGCAGTCGGGGGTTTGGCTCCGAGGCTCGGACCTGCGCCTGTCCAGCGCCGCTCCACGGGTCAGGTCCTGAGCTCGGACACGGGGATAGCTTGGGGCTCTGGCTCGGCGCGCGAGCGACAAGTTGCTCCTGTGGTCCTGCGGCGCGGCGCTGTCATGCCAGAGCCCTCGGCGGCCAAACTTGTTGGGGGTTCCCTCGTTACCCTCTGGAGCAGGCTGGGCGCCCGGAGTTCTCGCAGCTCCGCTCTGCAGACCGGCTTCCCCGTGAGCGGTCGGAAGCATTTCCGGTGCTTCCCCCGGGCTCCGGCGGAGCTCGTCATTCCCAATTCCCCGGCCCCGCGGGGCGCCGGCCCCTCCTCTTTGTGTGCTGGCCGCGAGGGGTGCCCTGAGATTCGAACCTCGGAGGCGTTGGGGGGTTAGGAATATGCCGCCCGCTGCTACCCCCAGCCCCGCACCTGCAGGTCCTCGCCCTGACGGTTGAATGGGGCGTGAGATAATGGAGCCTGGCCTGGGAGACCGACCCCCCTCGGGTGTCCCGTGGTTCGGGTGCTGCTGTGGGGTGTAGTGAGAGTGTCCGCCGCGGGAGCCTCCTCGCAGCTCGCGGCCCCACCGGTGCCACCGTGGCCGGCGCGCAGCGTGTGGCCTGGCGGTTAGCATCGCGCGGAACTGGGGTCCCGAGGGTGGCGCTGCCCTGACGCGGGTCTCTCCCTGTGCTCTCCGCAAATGCAAGCTCGCCGATTTCCCAGGCAGTGGAAATTTTGATTGAAGGGGGAAGACGGAGCTCTTGGCTTTCTCCTGACAGCTACTTGGATTTCTGTGTCTGTTGCTGCCGGTTCTATTGTGGGGTACCTTTTCCCTCCACGGTTTTCTTCCTCCCCACAGCCCAAGTGGCGGGTAATAAAATTGAACTTGCGGACTCCAGGAGTGATGCTTTCAGAAGTTGGATAAAGCGTGATAAAACTTGGGGCTGGATTTTACCTTTTGGTCCACACTCCCCACGTGTATCCTAGATTGTGTTTGGGGTTGAAAAGCTCTCTATTGATTTGACCGTGCCACTCTTGAGATGAAATGAAGATGATTTTGTTGTTTAACACAACCCCTGAACTTGGTGGGAGTGAGCTTCCAGAGGGAAGCTTACAAGCTTACAAAGTACCAGATCTGAAAACCAGCACAGTGATTCTCAGGAGGGTGGGGACATACAGAGAAGGTTCAGAGCAGTTATTTAAGTTGCTTAACGATGGCTTTTCTCTTTGACACAAATAATGGAAGTCTGACATTGTGTTGTTATAGCCCCTGCATCAGTTCCGATGTTTCCTGCCCTACGTCGTTCACTGGAAAAAGATGCTGGGTCACCACCAGTCAGGATAGTTTGGGAACAGAAAATGGGAGAATGTGGGGAGGGGTAAGTTTAAATGCCCAGCACATCAGGAACCTCTGTGCTAACCCCACGGCTGATACACTGATTGAGCAAAGCCTTTACCCAGGTATGAAGGGTCTCTTATTCCTGGGTGCTTAATTTACAAGTGTGTTTAATGGCATGAGTGGCATTGTGTTGACAGGTGAACTAAATTCTCCTTTCTTCCTTTTTACTCAGTTGACCTTGCAAAAGACATCTTTCTTGCCCCCTGGGAATTTGATAGTTCCACCTGCAGGAGAAAAATCAGGAAAGTGTGTCATTTAAGCCTTCTGCCCTCTGGACACTAGAAGGCAGATGGTGAAATGAGCTTGCCTGTGTGTGGTGCTGCATTCATTTGTGAGTTCCTTGCTTTCCCTTAATGAGGTGTTGGCCGCTCTAGACAACTGAAGGTTTGGAGACAGCAAGGGTCCCCGTGTGGATTTACTTTTTCTAAAGCAGATTTTCGCTTGGCTTAAAACCCAAAATCTCTTTTTGTCACTTTGTTTCACTTGCCACAGCCTTGAATCTTTCATGAATATTCGAATGAGGTATCTTAATGACCCTCAGCTTGTTAAGGTACCTCTGGGGTGGCACCAGGCCTTTATTTCTTGGAGTCATGGGGGCAGGGGCGCATCCTCTTGGCTTTGTTCTGCCTCTGAGCTGTACCTGAGGATTGTCAGCAGCTTAAAAACATTATTTCCCTCACACAGAATGAAATGGCAGAGCAAGCCTCTTTCCTGGAGCTGTGGATGAGCTATCTCTGTTTTTAGGCAATTGGCAGCCACTCTTTATGTACGATTGTTAGTCCTGACTGAAGCCCACCCCCTCTACCGCTCAGCTTCCCAACCCCTTTTGTTATTTCTAGTTTGGAGGCAACTATGTGCAGAAGAGCAAAGTGGTGGTAGACATTTGTCACAATCAGTGACCTTTCAGCAGCAAGAAACTCCACTGCCCTGTTTAAGCTGGGCTCTGCATAGACTGCAGAGTTGATCAGAATCTGCTGGTGGTCACTGTAATCTCCGTGGCCTGTCCTGACATTCTCTGTACAGAGATTCCGATTCTTTCGGAGACAGGTATTATCTGGAATCATCTAGACTCCTTATTTCTCTACACCTTGGTCTTTGAGGAGAGTGATTGCTGTTATATCTGGTTAATATTTGAGAGCCCAGATTGTGTGAGAGGCTGACAGTGCATAATACATACCATTTATCAAGATTCAGGGAAATTGCCAGAGTTCATTAATGTTTTAATAATATTTAGTATTTGCATAATGTCTCCGCCAGCTCCTTTGTTATCTTCATTCCCTGGTGAGGTCGGGTGGAGACTGGTTGTGTCCCCTGTTGCAGAACAGGGGCTATGCAGAAGTTAGAGAAGCCAGGAGCGAGACAAGTAATCACTTAGACTGCTTGTAGTCTGAATGGTCAGTACCATGGCGTGATTGTTAGATAGCTATAATTTATTGCTTGTCTTCCCTATGCCAGGAACTTCATATAACCTTAGGAGCAATGTTTTCCCATTGCACAGATGAGGATGTTGAAATTTACTGGGGTTAAGAATCATCCAGGGCCCTATGGCTAATAAATGGTAGCGATCTTGCTAAAACACTTATTGGCCTGACTCTGACATGTTCCTCTCCTACTTGAGACTATTTCTAATAGATGCATTAAGACCAGAGAAAGGCCTTTGTTTAAAAAAGTACTACTGTTGCTTCTTTCAGGATTTTGTTTCTGATATCAGCTATAAATATTAGGATGATCCAAGCAGCATCTGATGTGATTTCTGGAGCCGTCTGAGTTGCAGTATTTTATTCCACAATAAAATGACTTGTTTGAATTTCTGGTTAAGAAAATGATGGCCATTATAATAAAATGTTAAAATCTCTGACAATTCCACTTTGCCTCTTGCTGGCTGAGCGGTCTTAAGTTCTTTCATCTACTAAATATGAATAACAGTAATGCATCATTTCAGAATTATATGTGAATATGAAGTTACTTTGTAAACTGAAAAAGAATGTATACATGATTTTAATATTTATTTCAAGAAATGGACATTATTAGGAAATCTAGTGAACTTAAACTAGAATTATATCTACAGTTTGGTATCAGAAAAAACTATGGAGTATGAGTAGAGGCGGCCCAGGAGAATATAAGCTCTGGCTACAGCGGGCATGATTAATTCTAACATGCATTGTCATTTGTTAAGCTCATACTGTGTGCTGGCCATTGTGCTAGCTACTTTGCACAAATCCATTAGTTCACGTAATTTTCTTCCAACAACTTCGTAAGGATAAATATCATGCCTGTTTTGGAGGTGAAGTAGGTGAAGTATTATCTCCTTTTTAAGATGAGACACTGAGGCTCAAAGAAGTCTAGTTCTTATGCCAAGTTCATACTGAGTTTGAATTTGAACCCAAGTGGCCGTGTTCCTTCCACTGTACTAGTAATCAGTTTCTTTCGCTCTTGGTTCAGACAACCAGAAAGGCGCCCCTCCCTGGGGATTGCTGCCCTCAGTAGCCTGCTTAGCCTCTAGGAGCAGGGAAGGTTTCTCTTTGTCTATCTCGTTCTTTCCCTCTCTTACTTTCGTGCATTCAACAAATATTTACTGAATGTTACACTGCCTGCAAGCAGTATGCAGGTTCCTAAGGACGAAATAGTGAGCCCAAGCTGGAATTCATATGGGCTTTTGGAGACCCTTCTTTCCTTTCTGGCTACCAACTTGAGGAATATAGTTTTGCTGGCTCTTGTCTCTTTTCAGGCCCATAAATACCACATGGCCGCTTTTAAGTTCTAAACTTACGGTGTGGTACTTTGGAGTGATGCTGGACCTACCATGTTTTTAGACACTTCCTGTATCTTCACACTAGGTCATTTTGAAGCCCTGTTTTTCCGGTGTTTGAATGCCACTTTTCTCTTAATTCATTCAGCAATATTTATTTATTGAGGGACTTTATTGCGAATCACTGCTTGGTGGGCCTCCAAGTCTTGATAAGTTCTTTAGAGTTCAAATTGCTAATGTGCTGTATCTGTATGATGCACAAGATCATCTGTGAAGCCTATTCCAGCTCTGACAACATTATGCATCTAGGGCAGGGAGGTCCCTCAGAACATTTATTTTTGCTGCTAGTTTGGGTTGATTTCATTTCACCTCCATGGCTCTGGGCAGTTGCTGCCCTTTGTCCTTGACAGAAGAGCCCTAGATTTGTTGATGATCCTGGTCTTCCCCGGATGTCCTCGTGTTGCCCATGGGATAATGCATTGCTCTAGATTAGACTGGGACCCTTTTATATTCGCAGAAATGTTAGATTCCCTCTTGTCAGGCTGAGAACTTGTCATTGAATGTTAGCTCTTTAGATTCTCTTTGAGCTTTTTAACAATTCAGAATCTCTGGTCCCATTTCAGATCTACTGAATCAGAATCCCTAGGATCCCCAAACTGGCTGCTCAGCACCCCGGCATCCTGTCCTGTGTTTGACCTGATGTGCATTCCCTGTTCAGTAGAGCTGCTCCTAGCGCAGTGAGCACGGTCCCACTTGACTTTTGAGACTAGAACCCGACTGCTGAGCCTAAAGAGCAGATATGTCTACTGGTTCCTGGAGCTGGAGTCCTCCACTCAGGACAGAGGTGGGGAGGTGTAGTGATTGAGATGATTAGAGGGTACCCTGTATCAGAGGTTGTAATAGGGCTTTACATCATCGTATCATTTAACACTTGGAAGTAAAGGACTATGCAGAACAATAGGATTTGAAAAATTCAGGAGTTTCCTAAGTTTACAAGCAAGTAAGTGGCATAGCTGGGACAGGCTAATGCAACCCTTGCTTTTAACAATGACACTAGTATTATTGCCCTCAGGAGTGGGAAGAGACCTGGATTCTAGCCCTAACTCTTCCAGTTACATGCTGTGTGACTTTGGGCAAGTCACTTAACAAACTTTGAGCCTCGGTTTCTGAATATGTAAGTTGGGGCTAATAATTAGTCATGTGTCGCTTAACAATGGGATCTGTTCTGAGAAATGCATCGTTGAGTGATTTTGTCATGCAAACATCATTGAGTATACTTATAAGAAATCTAGATGGTATAACCTACTATACACACCTAGGCTCGATGCGGTAGCCTGTTGCTCCTAGGCTTCAAATCTGTATATACGTTACTGTACTAAATACTGTAGGCAGTTGTAGTGCCGTAGTATTTGTGTATCTAAACATACCTAAACATAGAAAAGGTACAGTAAAAATATGGTCTAAAAGGTGAAAAGTGGTATACTTGTATAGGGCACTTACCATGAATGGAGCTTGCAAGACAGGAAGCTGCTCGGGGTGAGCCAGTGAGTGAGTGGTGAGTGAATGTGAGGGCCTGGGACCTTCCTGTGCACTACTGTACACTACAGTGCTTTAGAAACGCTGTACAGCAGCATCACTGCAGACACGTGAGAAATGCATTGCACTACCACGTAACAACAGCTATGACGTCACTAGGTGAGAGGAAGTTTTCAGCTCCATTATAACTATGGGGCCACCATTGACTGAAATGTTCTTGTGCAGCCCACGACTACCTACCTTATGCATCCAGGAACATTAAATTCTGAATTTGAAAAGTTTTGTGCAGCACAAAGGAAGGACATGTCTGAGTTCTAGTACCAGCTCTATTTTGTACTGTATGGTGTGTGTGACCCTGAATAAAGTCTCCTTACCTCTTTTGGACCACTTTTGCCCATTTTCCAATTACAGAAAAATACAAAGATGAAAGTAAAATCACTCCCAAATTCTAAATATGTTAATATTTTATGTACATTTTTCTAGACATCTGTGTTTATAAACATGCTTACACCCACTCATTCTTACATGCATAAAGCCTTACTAACAGTATTCTTATTGGGTATGTGTTCTTTGGTAAATTCATCAACATGCTCGCATCTACCATACTTTTAAAATGAAGCTATAACTTGAAACCTGTGGAAAGATGTTCTCCTAGCTTCTTTCATTCCTCTTTTATTCCACAAGAAGATACTGTTCTGGAACTTAGAGCACATTCTGTGATTTAATAACTGAGGATGATGAACCTTCGTATTGGTGACTTCTGAGGGTTTCAATGTCATCTCCTCGCTGTGTCTTTGTATGTTCAGCATGGTCATGTGACACTGACTATATTTCTCCCTTTCTTCCTTTGCTTAGGCTGTTTTCTCTATCAGCATTTCTTAACCTGGGTCCATGGAAACAACAGCATGGAGTCTATGAACTTGAATGAGAAGAAGCCATATCTTTATTTTCATTAACCTCTAACTGAAATATAGCATTTCCTTCCATTGTAAAAGTAGGTAACAAAGCATAGTAGTACCTATGTCTTTCACTTTTGCTACCAACAGAAATCACAGATACTTTCATTTCACATTAAAGTTGTTACAGATATCTCAAAAAATCATTTATTGCTGCTTTGAAATTATGGTGGCTATTAGACTTGCTACTGGATTTTATTTACTGCATTCATGAATCACATGGTCCTCTATCACAAATTTATTCTTTAAATGCATTTTGTGTTTTAATACTATTTTCTTTGAGGTCCTGTGTAATTTCATCATATTCATTTAAAGACACTGTTTTTTGCTCGGATTCATTGGCTTTTCCAGCCTGTCAAGATATCTGTCACAGAGGTAGTTAAGAGTCTCAGCTTCTAAACACAACCTCTGACACCTTATCTCTGCTTTGTTTTCTTCTCCCAGCTCAAATGCCTCTTGACTCATGAAGATTTCCTCTCTCTCCAAGGAGAAAACAATTTACCTTTCCTCTGTTTCCTAACACCTGGTCCCCTTTTCTATCTCTTAGCACATTCTTTCTCATGCCCTGGGTTAAAGAATCCCTGGCTCATTTATCTTTGCAGCACCCACTGGGGTCATGTACACAGTAGGTACTCACAGTGTTGTGACTTGATTCACTTTAAAGGAGACCTTCTGTGTGAGCTTATTTCAGGCTGTATTTAAGGAATCAGCACTTTCTGACATTGTCTCTTTATGATTTTCCTTTTCCTTTAAGCCATGCTATATAGTCTTTGCTGGGGTCAAGAAAATCTTAATCTGATCTCCTTATGTGGTAGCAGAGTTTTTTCTGCCTTCCAAGAATAAGGTCCTTAAGACTTACCACAGGGCAATTTAAGAAATGTCCCAAGTGATTGCAATAGTGTGTTGACTGAGAGCAAACAGTGATTTGGGGAAATGTCCCTTTTCTTATAGACCTTGACTTTTCTTTCATAGGCACCTAGGGTACTCGTGGGCCTCCAGCATGCCCACAGGTGGGGCCTTATAGAAGCTATGACAAAGCATAAGTCATCTTTCCCCTGGAGGTGTTCCAGACGCTTATCAGTCAACCTGCAAGTGTTCATATGCCTACTCTGGAATCCAAATTATAGTGATACTTCATTATGATAAACTACTATCATGTGCCCTCAATAACCCACCTTTGTACAGTGCTTTACAGATTACAGTAAATATTCACATCTGGTATGGCATGGTATTCTTTGGACAGGCCTTTGAGAAAGGTTGTGTAGGAACTATTAACCCACATTGCAGATGGGATTAGTTTTGAGACTTGGAGGTGATGTGACTTAGTGGGAGGTCTAAAGTAAGTCATAGAACAGGATCCACCCAGATCTGAGTGTCTCCTGCAGCACACAGCCTGCCCAGAGCTTTTGTAGGCTTTTTTACCCTCAGGCATCTTTCATGGGTTGCTGGGGTGAGTCTATATCCTCAGACAAGGCCAGCGTAGCACCTTTCATTCCTGTCTGGGTTTTTCTGCCCTCCCCCTGACCACAGGTATATAGCCCTTGAGGCTGATTGACTATGAAATGGGTAAGTACATGCCCTATAGGTATGCATTCTCCACATCTGATTGCTAGGCCCTGCCCAACTAGTTCTTAGGGTCCCTGTCAGTTTCACAATGGACTTGGGTAAGCACTTGGCAGCTGAGTCATTTCTTTAAGGACAGTTTATAATTATGCCATTATGAGGCCCTCTCTCCAGGAAACAGCTATCTGTTTTTTTGTCCACTTAAGTGCCTTTTCATGAATTCCCTCTATACAAGATAAAGAAACAGATAACTAGGGCCAGTGCCACTGTGGATAAAGCTGACATGGGGAGCTGTTGTTCAATTTATTTTTTATATATTTTTTCTCAACACAAGAAGCCATGATTACTCTTTGTGAAATGAGTTAAGTTAGTAGTGGGAGTTGGTGTAAGTATTGTTTAGGTTTTTGTTTCTTCTAACAAGTATTTGTATATCTACAATGTGTGAAGGATGGTGAAGGATTCGGTCATTTATAAATTCATTCAACACATGTTGCAGTGCCTGCCATGTGCTAGTGTAATTACTGTGATACAATTACTAGATAAGTGCACAGTGTTGAATCAGAGAAGGAAGGTCACTATGTCTATAGGACTTATGTTCTCTGGGGGATTCAACAAGGATAAATTGGGATGTGTGCTATTAAAAAAACAAAGCACAGAGTGTGATGTTGGAGGTTAACTGGTAGGATGGAGTGAAGACCCTTCGAGAAGGCCTCTCTAAAAGACATTGAAATGGAAGGGCAAGAAGTACCTGGCCACCTGAAGATTGGATGGAAGAGTATTCCAGGTGGACAGGACAGCATGTGCAGAGGCCCCAGGTGGGCTTCAAGCTTTCAGGGCTGCTTGAATGATAGCAAGTCTCATTTGGCCTCCACAAGGAGGAATGGTCTGTGTTCGGATTAGGCCCGGGGTGGAAAGAATGGGCCGCTTTCCTTGGAATGAGTGGCCTTCTTGCAGGTGAAGGTTTTCCAGGTGGGGCCACCCTTTGGCTTGGCTCTTGTTCAGGGCATTCAGGGATTGGTGGGGAGGGAAACGGTGTTGGAAGGTTGGGTTACAGATCCTCAGAAGGCCCTTTGTAGTCATGTGATTCTCTGATTTCACCTGATAGCCCTAGGCTAGAAGCAGTGAGTGCTACATTAGATCATTTATGGGTCAAACAGCAGTTTTCATGGGACAACAATAAGCCTTTTATCTAGTCCTCTACAGTTTACCAGATACTTTTATATGCATAATCTGATTTTGACATCACAACAACCATATGAAGTAGGTTATTATTGTATCTGTCTTAACATAGGAAGACACTGATGGTCAAGAGAAGTTAAGTAACTCACTCAAGGTCACCAAAGGGTCAAGGTAGGGTCAAACTCAAGTCCTTTAAAGGTACCCCAAATTATCTGTGTTACGCTAACCTAGAACATTCTCCCCTACCCACCCACCCTGTCCCAGGGTGTGGAAGCAGGAGGATTTCTGGCCCAGAGGGAGGCAGGGAAGATCTGGAGGAAGAACCAAGTCAATAGGTTACAAGCCTGCGCATGTCTGTTATTGGTATTCAACTCCTAAGCACTTTTCTAGGCTGCTTCAAGATCATCCTTTTAGCAGCCGCAGCTGTTCTTATAGCAGCTGCTTGTGTGGATTGTGATTAATAAAGGAAACTCAACAGTTTGTTCTTTTAACTGTGCCCTTGGTGTATGCAGCCTGCTGTCATCCAGGCTATGGCTCTGATTTGGAATGACATAATCCTACTGGCATCAGTGCCAAGGGGCTCATAGCCCTGTTGTGAGAAGGGATGGTCTGTCTAGATAGGAGCTGGTGAGCCAAAGGCCCACCGGGGACTGGACAATAGGGACAAAAAGAGTTTAAGGAAAACGAGAGTGGTGGGCAGCTCAGTAAATGCCAACTGGTTTTTGGGGTCAGAGTCAGGCACACCTGGGAGTGGGGGACGTGCACTGGGGAGTGAGATAACCTTTTACATCTATTTACCTTTTTTTTAAAAATCCTCAGCTGAGGATATTTTTTCCATTGCTTTTCAGAGAGAGTGGAAGTGGGGCGGGGAGGGACATCCATGTGAGAGAGACACATGGATTGGTTGCCTCCCGCACCCACCCCGACCAGGGCTGGGGATCAAGCCTGCAACCGAGGTACATGTTCTTGGTTGGAATTGAACCCGGGACCCTTCAGTCTGAGGGCCAATGCTCTAACCACTGAGAAAAACCAGCTAGGGCTACATCTTTTTTCTAAAAAGGGTCACTGCTCCCAGCCCCTGCCAGCTGTTCCTCCACTGCAATGCTATTACAACAGATTGCCAGCACCACTCCTGGAGTTTCTGATTGAACAGGTCTGGGATTCAGCCCCAGGAATTTGTATTTCTAGTCAGTCTCCAGGTGATACAGCTGCTACTGGTCCAGAACCCACGCTTTCAGAACCATTGCTTAAAGGGGCCAGGGCTGATAGAACTTCAGATGTTTTAAGAGACACGATAAATCTGGTTGTTTATGGAAAATCTCCAGATTTTTAAATACTGAGAATAAAAATCAAATCTTAAAGGAACATATGTGGTCTAAAACTGCAGGTCAAACAGAACACTGTGGCTGCCAGTGTATCTCCTCTGATCTGAATACTTTTAGGGCAACCTTATGTGCCTGCTCTGGAAACTGAGACCCGGAGAGGAGCAGTGCTTTGGTTCATCCCATAAACACACAGCTAGTTTCGGGGCAGAATGATACCTAGAACCTAGACTTCCTAGCTCTCTGCCAAGTGTGTGTGTGCGTGTGTGCTGGGGTTAGTCTTAGCATACTGTCTCCCAAGTGTTCCCTTTGAATAGAAAACTATGTAACTTTGAAAATAATAACCACACTAGGCACAATTCTTAGTATGTTATACTTTATGTATTTAAACAATTAATCTTAATGCCAACCCGCTCAGGAAGGGTTACTCTTCCTATTCTTATTTACTGACAAGACTTCCAAAGCACAGAGAGGTTAAGTAATTTGCCCAAATTCACAGAGCTACCGGTGGAGTGGGGTTTGAACTCAGGAGGTCTAGGTTCAGGCAGAAAATAGCAAATCACTCTAAACCGTCTTTTTTATCTCATTAAAGAGGATCTTTTCCCCCTGCAAAGTGGAAGCCATTGATGGGAATGCTATAGTTTTAATGCTGCTGATGTTGTAGGCAGTTAGACAGACATGAGCAGAGCAAGGACTATGGCCAGGTACAGAAGGTCACCAGGGCAGAAAGCCCTGGGTGCCTAGCAAAGGACAGTTGCTGGGTGGGACCTTGCCCCCAGGGTGTCCTTTCCTCCTGACCTTTCCTCTGTAGAGATAACATTTGGGCCTCAGTTGTATTTCAGCTCCAGGCCCAGAAAAGCAGCAAAACCAGCCTTGCTGACCTCAGGACCAGCTGCATTGAATAATGACCCCCAGCTCTGGTGCAGACCAATCAATCAGTGGAGACCACAACCCTGAAAAGACACACCTGGAAAGCTGCTGAATATTCAGGTCTTCCCCTGGGGCCTCCCCTAAAATCTCCACCCTTGCAACCCTTAGTTAAGACTGAGGACCCGGAGTGCTCTCCCTCCTAGGAGCACCCCTGCCTTCCCTTTCCCTTCACCCTCGCCCCGCCCCCCCGCACGTTACCATTAATTTCCTGACCCCCAAGCTCCTGGGGCCCTTCCTTTGCCTCTATAACCTGTTCCTAAGCCCATTTTTTCTACAAATTACTTCTTCTACCTCTGTGATTTTATAAATAAATGTTCTCTTACAGTTGGATTCTTGGCTCTGAATTCTTTTCTAGCCAGAACTGAAGTACTGAGCTTGCTGAACCCAGGTCCCGTCTGACCTCACTGGTCTAACACCTTCTGCTGCCTACAACACTAGGAAACTTGGAAATGAGTTGGCTGGAATTCCTCCCTCCTCCATTTTACAGAAGGGGAAGCTGAGGCCAGAAAGGAAAGGGGACTTGATCATCCTGAACACTGGTCTTGCTTTTGGTCCGAGTGGAGGTTGGAAATGTCCAGCAAGTAACTGCTTCCTGAGACTCTTCACTCGGAAGAGTGTGCTCCCCAGGGAGGGTCTGCCTGGGTTTGAAGGAGGGCTTGTCCCTCTGAGGGCTGTGCTTCAAGGTAAGAACATGCCCGCTGCTCCAGAGCTGCCCGCGTAGTTTGAAGTTCTCTTAATTGCTGTAAGACAAAGGATCCTAGATGAACAACCCCATGGGTATGGTGTGTTTTTGGTCTGTGTGTTTGCTTTTGTCTTGATTGTCCCATCTCCCCCTCTCTGGTTTCTTTCTTTGAAGTGTCCTTTTCTCACACCTGTGCTGTTTCCACAGCTTTGAGGGATCACGTCAAATATTTTCATCTCTGAACACTCTGTGTCTGTAATATGGAAGGTGGACTGCAGGACTCTGGGCCAGCCTATGGGTGGGAGGAGCTGAAGCTCCTTGGGCTAGAGAGCCTCAGGGACCTGAAGGGGAGCCAGCACTGCCTTCCCTTCTTGCTGCGGGCCTGAGAGCTCTGAGCCTGAGCAGGATTTAGAGTTGTAATAGGATTCAAAGCATTATAGTGGAGCTAAGCCACTGGGGATCTTCCTGAGATCAGTTCATCTACCCCATGATTTCATGGGTGGGGAAATTTAACCCCACAGTGGATAGCGACTTGCTCAAGGTCAGACTGATGGTGGTAAGGATGACAAAGATATTGGGAAACTCTTCCTCACTGTTTGCCAGGTATTGTTCCATTGCTTTAGAATCATTAACTCATTTAATCCTCACAGCTTTAGAGATAAGGAAACTTTAGCAGTTAAGTCAATTGCTCAGGCTGGTGATAGAGGCTGGATTCAAACCTAGGCAGTCCAACTCTGTCCCTTGTACCTTTCTAAAACCTGAGTGCCATCACAATGCCAGGCTCTGTGTTGGTTGCTGGCATATAAACATGAGGTGATGCTAAACTTTGAGGGGGGTGATGGAAGTGTGGGAATAGCGGGCAGGGTGGAAAATATGGTGGTTTTACTGTCCTGGAAGCCAGGTGCCAATATGGATCTTGTGGCTCCTGGGCTAGAGTCTCTTCATTCCATCATTTGGCCTTGGCAGCCCTCAGAGCAAACATTCGTTGGATGATTGTGGTTTTTGTTTATTGAAAGTCCTTTGTATGAAATCACATCTTACCACAGTATTCATTTTGAAACTAAGAAGGTGTGGCCTAGCTAACTGATTGATTTAAGGCTCTCTAAAGGTCAACTGGGCCCTTGATGCTAAGTAAATTAGGGCAGTCTTATGAAAGCACAGGCTTTTTCCTTTCTCTCCTCCACTTCCCCCCCTTCCCCAAGTGGCTTTCATTCCAGATTTAGGATGTTTAATTAGAACATAGTTAATGTAGTCTACCATTGTGGGGAGAATGGGGAGCAGATCTTTTTTCAGTGAAAGGCCAAAATGTACTCTTAAGAAAGTTACTTTGAAATCAAAACTTATAAATTGAATTGGGTTTTATGTGAACTAAGGGATATGCCTCTTTAGTGCTGTGACTACTTTTGAAAAATGAGTATCTGTTAAATAAACTTGTCTAGCTGCCCTCCTTTTTAAGGGCAGATGTTGGTACATTGACTTGTCTTAAAGCATTGAAGCACGTTGGCATCACGCTATGAAATCTGTTGTTGGGATGAAATAACTTCTTGAGATCTTAGTGCTGCTCATGATTCAGAGGCTTGGAATTGGAATGCTCAGAGAAGCCTCATTTCCAGCCTACTTACTCATGGTTTTCCTGCAATAAAAGATCAGTGGGAATGGAAACATCCTAGATTGGCAAACCCACCTGGACAACATAGAACTCATGGGGGGGAATTTTATAATCTCTGGTTCTTGGGGAAGAGGATTGGTGGGAAGTGATTTTACTAAGTATCTTTGTGGAATTCAAGACCAACCAACCCCTGTTCCTGCCTCCTGGATCCCTTTCTCTCTCTGGCTCAGAAACCGCCCCTGGGGATTAATCCTGCCCCCTTAACCTGCCATTTCTCCTTCGTTGCTGATTGCTTCCGAAACATTCATGCAGTATTCTCCATTCAAACCTTCAGCAGAGACCTTGGAGAACCTCTGTACAACAAGTCCTCTGCCAGGCAGGAGCAAGAAGGGCAACAGACCCTCATCTTGTTTTAAAAGTCTTAGGAGGAGGTGGACAATGCAGAAGAAGAAAAAAAGTACAGATTATGATCAGTAACCTAAAGGAAAAAACAAAACAAAACAACAAGGGGCTGGGTTTGTCATTCCTTCTCCAAGTTGACACTGTTGGCCGCTCTCCTGAATTCTCCCCTGGCTTCCATATATGTCCCCATAAAGGACAGACCTATATTCTTTTGTCCAACCCTCCATAACTGCTTCTGTCTCTTCTCTCCTCGCACTTTCTCCAGCCTCCCATTTTACAGCAGTGTCTCTGCTGCCTCCCAAACCTGTGTCCATCTGGATCTCTTGGCTGCCTCTGGGACAGTTCCACTTGGATGTCCCAGAGATGCCCCAAATCAATTATCCAAGGGGAGTCTCTCTGTGCTCCAAACCTGTTCCTCCTTAGCAGCCACAGCACCATTCAGCAGAGTGCCCAAGACAGGAGCTTTGCAGTCACCCTGAGCTTTCCCCTCACCTTCCTATCCCTGTGCTGGAGAGGAACCGAGGCCTGTCAATCCTGCCTCTTTCTTTAGACTGTTTTCTTCTCTCCAGTCCCACCGTCACCACCCAGGCCGGGCCACTGCCACCTAATTCCTGGATTACTGTAACAATCTTCCCCCTGGGTTTTCTCCTTCCACTCTTGCATCTTTTCTATCCATTCTCCATGCTTAGTCATCTTTTAAATATACCTGAACCCTTCTGGGCCAGCCCATCCCTCTTCAAGTGAAGTTTAAACTCCTTAGTCTGGTTTACTAGGCCTTCAAAGACCCAGCAATTCCTGCTCACTCTCCAGCTTCATCTCCTGCCATGGCTTCAGTTTTACCATATATTTCTTGCATACCTGCTATGAGGTAGGCATCATGGGAGGTATGGACGTTGCAATCTCTCTTAAAACCCAAACATTCTGAACATGATTAGAAGGCCTCAATGCTCTACTCCTCTTCAACCACCTCTTCAGCCTCAACTCAAACCTCAGAGGCCCTCACTCTTGTTTTCAGCCACACTGGTCTTTCAGTTCCTTGGAAATACCACGTCCCCTCCCACTGAGGCCTTTTGTTGGAATGTCCCATCCCTCCTACCACAGCCCACAAAACTCACTTCTACTTACCCATAAGATCTCAACTCATTCAAATCAATGTTTTTCAATATTGGAGGCCTTTCAGGCTGGCACAGAACAGGTCAGTTTCTCCCAAACTGGCATCTTAGCTTCACAGGCTGCTTAGTTGCACTGATCAGTTATGAATTTGTAATTATTTGTGACTGATTTCTGACATTTCCCATCCCCATAAAAACTCGGTTATAGTCTAGCACATATCTGTCTTTGTCTTTTCTTTTAGCTTACCTGAAACATGATTCAGTAAATATTTGAGAGGGGCTCAATAAATATGGCTGGTATTGTTGGCTATTTTGCTTTCATTCTTGAACTTAGCAGTTAGTTGGCATGCAGTTTATGATGATGGCCATGTGTGTGCTGAGTTTTATTTCTTGGTGTGTTTAGGGGGGCTTCTTTTCCTTGCCTAGTTTCCCACCTCTCTGCAGCATATAATCATGGAATTATAAAAATATGGGCATTAATTGCCTAGTCCAATCGCTTCCAACCTTTTCTAAATATAAGGATCACTTTTTTCAGTGAAAAAAAGTATGAGGATTCAAATGATAGTGGTTATATTTTTACTGTCAGTTCATTGGGGGAAATGAGAAGTTATAGAGAGCTACTATGAATTTAGTTAATCATGTAAATTACTTTGACATTTTTCATAATAGCATCTACATATATTTGAAAAAATAAATAGTAGTCTGCACTCATGAGAGACAGTGCGTGGTGGGCATGTGGATTTACAGCATCAATAACTCCATGCCCTGGGATGGCTCAGTCAGGAACCAGCATCTGACTCGGCTCTTTGCTCTATCTAGAACTGGTTACCTGTGAGCTCTGTTTCCTCTATACATGTGTTTGATTTGACCAGCATGGTGTTTTTGAAAATTGAAAGCACACATTTCAAAAAGTTGGGAGATTTTTCACAGCACCAGATTTCCAGCTTAAAACGTTACGAGGACTAGGCCTTATTTCCTCTATGGCCCGGATCACCTGATCTTGAACAGCAGCTGCCTCCTTTAGAAGTGCCACACTTTCTTTCTTAGGTTTGTCACAGTCCTCGCTTCTCTCTCTTGCTACACAGCAAGGTGCTGGTATGAGCGGTAACAGGCAACCCGGTGACTTCCCTCCGGAGTGGGTGAGGCCCCCTGTCCATGTCAGAGGCTTGTGAGCAGAAAGAGCCGCCAGGAAACCTGGGTCTTTGTCGCCTCACCGTTACTGACCAGCTTGAGGACACTGAACAAGCTATGCAACCTCTCTGACACCTGTCACCAACTTACAGTAAATACCTCCTGGCCACCAGAGAGTTGTTTGATGTGTTGAGGGAAAATTATTTCATATAATGGAATCTGTTTGTTAATAACTACACCATCTTCTCTTTCCTTGTCTTTTTCGTCTCTCATGGAGGAGATTTATTATTTATTGTTGTACCCCGATGCTCCTTTTAGAAATATGAGAGGGGAGTGATTGGCTCTCCCTCGCTGTCTCTCCCACTATTTCTTACTCCTCATGTCTAGAGGCAGCTCTGCTCCTTTCATCTCATGTCCTCTGCTGCTGCTGGCGGTCCCATAGCCATAGGCAAACTGCTGCAGTGACACCCAAGACACCCCAAAGTTGAGTTCCGAATATCAAAGAATTGTAGCTGCATTATTGCCTGTTGAGATAGTAGCTGGCCAACTGTGGCATTGCAAAAATCCATGAAATGCTAACAGGACACCAGGCTGACGTCCTTGTCGGCAACATTCGTGGTTCTGCGTAAGATTTTATTGTTTGAGAGGAACAATGCCAGTGCTTTTGTCCTGAATCGGGAAGGGAGGGCTGGTATCAGTGCCACAAATAGGAAATACACGCCTGTGTCTGTCTCCGAGGTGACGGAA